GGAAAGAGAAATGGCAAACCAAAAACATCGGCGACCATAAGAACGGCGAGTTTGGAGTGAGGAGAGCCTGTGAAATAGGAATCGACACCAGCCACTTTGTCGACATGCCCAGCTCCTCCAGAAGGGTTCAGAGTTGGTGGATTTGAACAGCACTCAGGTCCCGACATGTTTTCTTTTCCTCTCAACTCGCTCTCACGGTCTCACCTATGTTCTTCTCTTCTTCAATCTATGACTAAGATGTTACTTATAACACGGAACGATGAACATTTTTTTATGGTTTTTTTATTATTTATAAATTAAACGTGTTTTTAGTTGTGATGATACTCTTCATTTTAGATCTCTCCATAATATATACTCTCTTTTTTAATTTTTATTTATAAAAATATATTGTAAATGATTATTGTATTTCACGAAAATGGTCACTTTTTTTTTTATTATCTCCCAATTATAAAAATAAGAATTGCATATAACACGTTTTTATAAATTAAACATAAATTTTATTTATTTATTAGTAATTAAAATAAATCATTACATTATTTCATTTATAGAGACTAAATTCTTTACTATTTAACACGAATAAAATTAATTAAAAAATATTTTTATAGTATAATTTCTTTTACATTATTAATCTTCTATTTTATGCATATAAATTTGAAAAATATTTTATATGAAATATGTAACACTTACAGTTTAATTAATTGTTATTGATTTTGTTGGAATATATATTGTGGTAATTTTTTGTTTTGATTATTGAGAAACTTTAGAATTATGAAATTTTTTTAATGAATTTTTAGTTATTTAGAAGTTCTCTAAATAGAAATCAAGTTTGATCCGGAGAAGAAGGTATATAAGGTCTTTCTTTATAAATGGACTTCATAGATTCAATTTCTTCATAAAGTTAGAGGGAGTTTAGAGAAAAATTTGAAGTCGAAGCAAAGCAACTCCATTTTGACTTCACACATTCCTTTTTTTTCTTTCCTCAACAGTGATTATGTGGTTGCTTAGGTGCTCTAAACTCAGAGCCAAGAATTAGAGCAATTAGTAGTGGTGGTGGAGTAACTAAGAGTAGTCATTTGCTTCCTTCTACCCATTTTTGATTGATTTTGAGGTAAGGAAAGCTGGAATTTTCATTCTCATTTTTTTGTTTGTGTTGTATGTTAGTTGTTTTCTACAAATCAAGATTGTGTTGATTGGTTATGGGAATTTAATATTGAAGTTGGGGTTTGTCGTTGATGAGTTGAGTAAAGCTGAAAATTTAATATTTTGATCATGATGTGTTGCATGTTGATTCTAAAAATATATGAGTTGTTTAATGTGTATATATGCTTTGTTTTGTGTTTCATGTTGGAAATCTTCTTAAATTTAAGGGGATTAAACAAAATCGTGATTCTACCAAGTGCAAAATTCAACATTGCACTAGGTGTAACTTCATGGCACTGAGCGTGACTCAAATCAGGAGCTATCTAATTTGATCATGTTGGGTGTGGAATTAATAACATCGGGCATGAAGAGGGATAAATGTTTCTAACTTGGTCACATCGACCCTTATGAAGGGGGCACCAAGCATGATCCAAACAGAGGCTTTTTACTTAGACAATTTTGTGTGTTAGTTCAGTGATGTTGGATGTCAGTCAAGTAGAGACTTTTTTCCTAAAATGAGGCTTGGCGTTGGGTTTGGTCATGCCAAGCATAAGAGCAACAAAGACTCTTTGTCTCATTCACGTCAGACGCAGGTCAAGTGATGTCCGACATGGGTGAGCCCGAGAGTTCTATGCCTCAATGATATCAAGTGCATAAAGAATGACATCGAATGTGAGTTGTCTATTTAAAATGTGTTGTATTTGGTTTAAGTGTTGAAAATTGTATGAGTAGTAAGAGAGCTTATATGTTGTATGATATCATTTATTTATACATTGATGTGCATAGTTGATTAAATTGTTGGAGTATAACATGAGTTGTATGATATATCATATGGAGTAGTTATGTTGAGAATGCTTAAGGCAAGAAGTTGTGTTAAGTTAATTAACTTCAGACTAAATGAGAGGTTGTTTTTAAAAGTTGGATATTCCGTTGTGAAAATATCGTTATGGTGCTCTATGAGCCTAATTGTTGAAAATCTTTCTTGAGTAGTTGACTCTTGAAGTGAATAATTGAGTATTCTCTAAGATTTTAGTTGATGCAATATATGGGCAAGGTCAAGACATACCATCTATAAACGACCATAGTATAGGAGACAGGTCAAGTTATACTGATTGCAAAAGACTAATATTGATCTATAAGTGAGTAAAGTCAAGACATACATGTATAAAGTGACTAAGTAAAATACAAGGTTGGGAGCCAAAATTCCTGACTAAGTATAGGAAGGCATAGTATTTGGAGGAAAGTCGGCGAGCTTATCTCATATGTGACTTAGTTATGCAAGTTAATGTTGTGATAGGCTCACACTTAAGTTATTCTATCTTGATAGAAATATTAGACTTCCTAGTTTAAGTGGCTAGATATGAAAAACCATGTTATTATGGATTTTTATCGAAATTAGCTATTGATCTAGTTGGATTAAAGAGAACGTGTCGTTGTTGATTTAATAGGGCCAAACCACTTATACTATTCATTTGTGTTGTATGAGATCTCATAGTTGAAATGCATGATAATGCATATAGTTGATTTGTTGTGCATATGTGATTGAGTTGTTGAGTTATGTGATGCATATGTCATGTTGTAGTGCTATGCAATTTGAAGAATAAGTTGTGCATGTGATGTGTTGATATTTTATGTTGTTCACATGCTATGTTGAATTGTGACGAGTTGCATTGTTGTGTTATTCAAGTTGAAGAACATATTGTAATGTGTTGAAACAAGTTGAATTATTTATGTGAGTGGTATAATTTTACTTCTATACTTATCTTGTTGATTTTTTTAATATTAGCTTATTTTTGCATGTTTTCCATATAGTTGAACTATAATGATCATACTTGATATAAAAATAAAATAAGGATAAGTTAGAGATGAAACTTGTTTGAAGCCATATCAAATTGGTGGCACGATTAATTTTTGGAGTTATCTTAGTATAGTTATACTAGTTGTATGCAGTGGGATTGACTAACAACTATGATTATTATTTTAGTATCTAAATTATTGTACATATTTGATATATTTGTATAGAAATTTTATTACTTTAGTTGTCGACTAAATTCTTATGCGTATATATTATAATATCTATATCTAGATGTAGCTTACATAATAATCTCAAGTAGTTAAGTGTATACTTTTTGTTGTTCCTAGCTAGATTGTTAAGTATAGTGATTTAATGGATTGTTACAAAATATTTTTAGAGTTATTATATAATGAAAGTATTTTTTAAGAGTTTTTCTATAAAAAAATGTTTAAATGTTATTATTTTCATTTTTTTAAATGCTTACATCTTTTAATTTATTTTTGTTTGAATTTTAATTTTTTATAAGAAGTTATAGGATAGCTAAAAATAATTATATATTCTAATATGAATTATTTATTATAAATTTAAAATACATTTTAAACGTTCAAAATGCCTATTTATTATAAATTTTAATCATAATATATTTAAAAATATTTATTATAACTGTTAAATATAAAACTAAGTATTTATTATATATAGTGTGCAAACTAAATTATTAGTTAACAATAAATTATTATGAATAATTGTATTATTAATTCTTATAATAATATTTTAAAGATTATATAAGATAATTTTATTTAATTTAACACGCAAGAATTTTATGTTAATGATAATAATACATTAAAAAAAACTAAAAGTACGTCTAACCAATCTAAATTCATATCTTATTTAGTAAAATTTAACAGCAACTCATCCAATAATAATGTATTAAGGTATATATTTAATGATTTCCTTGCATTGCACTGTTTAACATAACGAGACAAAAACAAAAGAACATACACCAAAATTCAAGAACAGAAGAAAGAGACAAAAACACGAGGGCTTTCGGAATCTTTCTACCGAACGCCAGAAACCTTCCAGAAAACCACGCATTCGATTTTGGGCTTTTAGCCCAAAGAAAGAATAATTAAGAACATCTTCCATTCTAAAACCTATTTTCAGTTCTCGACTATTTTTTTGTGTGAATTGGTGTAGAAAAAAACTGTTTTCTGTGATTTCTTTATTATTGCGTAGAGTTTTAGAACTCTCACGGTCCCATATTAAATCTCTTATTTTTATACTTTATTTAAATATTATTTTCATCACAAATTAAAATTATAATTTACCAAAATTTTAATTTTGTAATAATAAATATTCAAAATTAAAAATCAAAAATTCATTTAATTTCAATTTTAACATTCTAATTCCCATTAATTTTATTTGAAATCTCATCTATAATTTAATAGCATTTTATTTAAAACACGACCCACATTTTTCTTTATTTATTTCGAGTTACGATCACAAGTCACAACTATGTCGTTTTAAAATTGTAAAAATATTCTTTCCAAATAAGCTTCTATAGAAATCCAATAAATAATACTATATGATAGGTGTAACAATTCAGTAGGTTACTACATTTGTTACTAATCAACTACTATAAAGTGAAAGACTAAACATGCATCAAAAAGAGAGTTTATAATACAATCGGTACTAGCATCAAGTACATACATGCTATATACAAAATACCATACTAAAAGTAAAATAAATCTAAGTGTCAATTGATATTTATACAAAATATGACTACATTAGAGTAGTCATCAACAAAATCTAGCCACCTCTAACATGACTAACCACTAACAGTAGAAGTCATTCCACTAATCTTGTATAGTATGATCATTGCAGTTCCAATCACAAAAAAAATGGTAAGTTTGTGAAAATAATTCAACATGACAATTTATAAACAAAATTATCATAGCAAAAAAAATATAACTTACAACAAGACATCATCAACACAACAACTTAAAAACCTCACAACACATTCAACGCATCAACATACACATCATACCTAATGTGTCATCACTCATATCAACTACAGAGGTCTCTTACAACACGGGGTGAGCATTCTAAGTGATTTGATCCTATCGAATCACAACGATTAGTACAACACCAAAAAACAACGGCTAACATTAAGGTCAAAAAATAACAACTAACACAAGACTATAAAAAATGGATAGTATGAAGTAGATTGATTTCTCAGGTTTCATCACTTAAACTAAGTCATTTATGGAGTTAGTCCGTCGACCACTCCCAAATATCACAACCTTCCAATACTATGTTAAAGACTAAATCCCGACCCAATACTTTACTCGGTTGGTCGATTTATACATGTGTGTCTCGACCTTATCCACACACGGATATTACATAAAATCCAGAGGAGACAACTGAAAAACAATTTACCCATTCAGAGGCCAACTTACCTACTAAAGGGTTTCAATTAGACTCTTAGAGCACCACAATATATATCTGCACAATGAGATATTTTAATTCCAAAAACATCTTACTTCCCCCTAGTTTTTACATATTGTAGCTAAAACATGTATATAACACACATATGTATAACTTATCAACTTAACAACCTTATCAACATTCAACGTACAACTTATCATCTTGAACAACTTAAACATCATACATCTTTACAACATGAAAAACTTTAAGAAAGCAACAACAAAATAACTCAAGCAACTTAAAACTATTTGCAACTTTACAACATGTTCAACTTATTACTTATTAACACACATCATCTTACAACATCACTTATACAAAGTATTCATCATCAATCAACTGTTAAAACAATTTAAAGTAACAACTTTTCATCATACAACTTGCACCCAATGTAACTCATTGTGCACTCAGTGCCATTAAGACAGGGAACTCCCTGTCTTACTTATGCCCAACATCGCACCACTCATGCCCAACATGGTTAAGGCAAAGAGTGCCCCACACTCTCATGCTTGGCGTGACAACACCCACACTCGACCCTGATCAGGTAGAGAGCTCCTTGCCTAACTCATGCCCAATGCCACACGTATTATCACCTGACATGAACTCAAGCAAATAGGAGTCTCTCACCTCATGGATGGTGTTATTCAACCATACTTGACATGATTCCAATCCACAGGAGGGAAGGGGAAGGAGAGAAGGAACTTCATACGACTTTGACTTGAAATCTACTACCTCCACAAGCTCGGATCCCAAGCCATAACTTCAAGGTTTCAACTGAAAGGGATATGAAAGGAAGGTTTTCTAGTAAGAATGAGGAAGAAGGAAGGGAGGAGGAAGAAGGAATCTCTCTCTAACTTCTCCACTACTTTTAAAAAACTTGAATTATGAAGCTCTAAACTAAAAAACTTCCTTTTATACCTTCTTATGTTGATTTCTCTTATATGTGATTGAGCTCTTCATATATTAACTTACTCTAAGGATATTTTAACCCCATAGCTCTCAGTAACGACTGACAAATCAAAACAACATAATTATAAAATGATGGTGTTGCAATAAAAAAAGATTCCATTTGCAAAGTTCTTTTTTTTATAAAATATATATATATATATATATATATATATATATCTATTCTTATTTCTTTTATAATATTTTATTGTTGTATATCCTCTCATTATTGCAAATAAAAGAGGAAAAAATTATTTTCAACAAGTACTAGAGTTCATGTGTAACTTAGTATTATATCACACAAATATTAAAGTTTGATGAAACTAATAATAAATTTGTGTGTCAAAAGTCTTAACGATATTTTACAAACCTAAGATGGTTAGAAAGGAAAAACAATGTTTTACATATTATTATATTAGTTACTCTTGTTTCTCTCTCCCCAACTATTGAAAAATAAATGTTAACTTTCAATGCCATCATGTCACGAATCGCAGTATTAACAAAAACTTTTTTTTTTTTTATAATTTGTTACACACGTGAAATAATATTGCTATATTATGAAAATTAATATTAATATTACGCAAAAAAAAAACTCCTATATATATATATATACACATTAAAACGCACAATTTGTAAATGTTAAGACCACTACTAATGTATTGGTCATAAAGTAAAGTATCATAGGAGTGAGTTTAATTACAACACAATCAATCAGTTATTTTCATTTAGATATTAAAAAATAATTAGATTTTGTTTGTAATTTAAATAAAGAAAGAAAACAATTTAAAGCTTTGTTGAAGATTTAATGAATTAAAACAGTTAGGTGCCATAAACTCTTAGTTATCGTAAGACAATTTCTTTCACTTCTAAACTCTTCTTATTAAACAAATTACATCAAAATTTTATAAATTAGTTTAACCTTAAAAAATTGTGTGTTATAAACTATTTGATTTCATAAAATTACATCAAAAATTTTCTAAATTAGTTTAACCTTATTTTTATTTATTTATTTATTTTTTGTGAAAAACTCTGATTTCAATTATGAATCCTAATATTTTAGGCAAGCAAAAGCAGTCACAAGTATCAAGAGAAAAAAAATTCATACGAAAATATTTAATTTATCCCTATACTTAAAGCTAAAAGATTACATGGTTATTGAATTAGAACAATTTAAATCTGAAATTTCCATTGCAAGATTAAGATTACATATCAATTTTATAACGAGTACCGAGCATAGGAAATCATTAAGCATAATTCCAACGACAAAAATTAATTTCTTAGCAAATTAGATAATATGTGCTTGAATAAACTGATAGGCTAAAAATCTTTATCCATCCCATCACAAAAACAAGAAGGGGATAGAAGTTGGAACTTGGAAAATTTTTACCATGACAATAAATAATACTACAATTAAATAAGTTGAATTGTTACCAAATAACGGGACAAAATTTAAATTTATTTTATTAAAAAAAATTATATAAAGAAAAAAGGATCCTTGTATTGCACGGTTGAAACAAAAGCAAACATGAGCGAAAACACACAAAACTGAAAATAAGAATAAGGGTTTTGGGTGTCAGCAACAACTTGGGTCAGCGTGGTTCTTGATAAGGGGTTTTTGCAGGGTTTATTCATCATTTCTTTTCTTTTCTTCCAAAAAACAATGGGGTCTTTGGAAAATGGAGAACACAAAGCAAGAGATAAACAAGAACAGGAACAAGAACCCATACTAACAGAGCAAAGTCAGAGGTTTTGCATGTTCCCCATTCGCTACAAGCAAATCTGGGAGATGTACAAGAAAGCTGAAGCCAGTTTCTGGACTGGTACTTCTTCCCCTTCACTAATCATTAATAAATTTTATAATTGTGCTCCAAAGACCCTCTTTTTCCACTAATTCCTCTACTCTGCTTTTGATAACGTTTGACTTCTAAGCATGCTCATGTTATTGAATTTGGATATCTGAGTAATTCATTCCCAGGGCTTATTTCAATTCCCATTCCATCTTCTTTATATTCTTAATCTTGGTGGCTTTGTCTTTTGAACCTGGGGAAAATCGAGTGAGGATATTTCAAATCACTGTTTCATTGAAGAAAAAAAGTGTTTTTTTTTTATCTGGCGCATGAGTACTTTGTGTCACACATGTTGCACGTCCTATCTTTTCTTTCAAATATGATTTGTTTGTTTCGTTCAAGATTTTATTTGCTTTTTTTTTTTTTTTCAACCTTTTTTTTTTTTTTTTTTTTTTTTTTTTTCCAACCTTTCTCATTTTGATTCTCGTTATCTCTATCATTTCTTTTATAATTCTGTTTTTGGTGCATTTCTTGAGTGACTTTTGTTCGGTGTTTGGAATTCGAAAGACTTTTCTTGAGGGTAGGTGATTAACATATTCTTACAGTTGATTTGATTCGCAATGAATCACCACATGCACGTATGACATTTGGAAATAAAATTTTCTTTTCTGCAGATGTTATTACAAAATTTCTTGAGATTTTCCTTTTCTTTGTCTCTTTTTCTTTATTTTTAGGGTGAATGGAGACTGGGGCACAACCAGTGAAAATTTGGTTATGAGGACTGCCAGTGCCTTATATTTTCATCCTACTAACCTCCTGAGATGTAATTAATATCGGAACAGTGTGTGTGGCGTTGTTTGACCGACTCAAATAATTTCACGTAGAAGTTTGATGATATTGATAGCTAATTGCAGTAGGGAGAAATTTTAATTTCCTTATTTGAGTCAGGATTTTTAAACATAGGGATAATGCAGAATTTCCAACCATTAATTTTAACATTTTAATATCTAGGGACTAGTAGTAATTAAATCATACTGAATGTGTTATCAAAATAAATAAATAAATAAATCATACTGAACGTGTTTCTCTGAAGGTATCTGATAACACTGGTTTTGTTTGCGTAGATAAGTGACTACGTTTCTGATAAAACTAAAAATAAATTACAATATGAAGTCATGTAATATGAACTCACAAATGCTTAGAATGAGAATAGAGTTGATCAAGATGCCTATTAGCTTATAGCACTGATACTGAAGAAGTATTGGGTCTCGCCTACTGAACACCTTGAAATGATAATATTGATCATTTGATTTATGTTTTATAATATAAAAAGATGATTCTTTTTCTTACATGATCTAAGATTCTTCCATGTGATTGATTGGATTAAGCATTCTGATCATTCAATTTTAATAACTTGTAATTTGGTTACAGCGGAAGAGGTTGATCTCTCCTGTGACGTACAACATTGGGAGACCTTGTCTGTCTCTGAGAAGCACTTCATTACACATGTCCTAGCTTTTTTTGCTGCTTCTGATGGAATTGTCTTGGAGAATTTGGCTGCAAGGTTTCTGAGCGATGTGCAAATTCCTGAGGTAATGTTTTAAGCTTTTGTTTTGCAAACTCTGCTTTTACAGTATCAAGTATTTTTTATTTATTTATTTATTTATATATTTGTGACTGCTTTATTCTGTTTACATACTGCTGACTTGCTTAAAATACTTGTTAGATTGACTGATTGAGTAATAATTTGTGGAATTTTCTTCTTTATACTTTAAGCTACGTATTTAATCTTCTTTTATGGGAGGAGCGGTTTCAATTTTTCATAGCAGATTTGGTTTAATATTACTTTTCTTATTCAATCTTCAAAATATATATTATTAAATTCCTCCCCCCCCCCCC